ACAAGAAAACTTCTCATGTTAATGGATATTCTCTACTTTCGTCGTACTTCTCGGATTCCACTACATCTACGCGATTATTAGCTACCTACTCGTGCCACATAAAACTTCAGCGGGTTGGGTCCTGAAGCCATCCTTTTCTCTGTACCTTCATTTATATCGTATTGATTTTTTTTTGATTACGCACCGACTTCAAAGAAGCCGAGTGCTTTCTTAATTTGGGCGCCATATTGTTACGGAACTGCTTGGTCCACGCCGGCTGGCTCATCGGTTTCTCTGGGTGTAGTTCCATCCCTGGCCAGCAGTCCGCACAATCGATAACAACGAAGCTACACGTCTGTAGCAAAACAGACTTACACAACACTATGCAAAAGCGAACCACAAATCGATAACGTCAAACAATCGGAACTTCTAACTCATAAACCAAATAAGCAGCTGTAACAACTATGAACATGTAAACAACAAAGGTGAGACACTCAATATAAATTAACAAAAAACACTATTTATACACCTTACTCTTCCAGATCGGGCCCTGGTCCGGACCCAGCGTACCCGCCCAACCATGAGACAATCTCCTACTCGTCTCCCACATTTTGCCATTAGATGGCCATCAGCCTGTGCCGGCTGTTATGCCAACTCTCCCCATCAAAGAAAATTTAGCCGGGCATTTCTCTCTTCAGATACGGCATATAATTGGTTGCATTTCTTATCGTGATTAACATTTAATCTTATTTCTTAATCCCCTGCAGGTTATCTTCAAGCTGTTATTTATAATTTCGTGCTCGGCAACATTTCCGGCATTTTTAACCAGGTTTATACGATAAGTTGGTATATTCTTATTTTTAGAATAATGGATATAAGTTTTAAATTTCAATTTTTTTTTCCATCTTTCAACTTTGCTTCACTGATGAGTTATCTATATATTAAATTTCCTTTTTTTTTGTAAAGAATACATTTTTTTGTTGGCGACCTTCATACAATACCGGAGACCAATAAAAAAACGGCCAGAAGTTATTGCCAGTCAACAAAGAAAAGGAAAACAAGGGGAGAAATATAAACACAGGTAATTATTTCACCAATGGGGAGCAAGTACCCGCTAAAATAAATGCGTGTATACCGAAGCGCTTATATTACCTTGCCTGCCTAAAGAGCTCTGTGTGTGGGGGGCATATGTACCTGAGGTGCGTAACATATATATATACGTATAAGTGGGTATCACTCGTGCATAAGTTGTCCAAAATCAAAACTTTTTAACTTCATTCTGTACCCGGCAGACGCAATAATTTTGGGCCCTTTCATTCCCGGTTCGCACTTTCGGAAATTTACTTAATTTAAATTAGTCGTGAGTATTTTTATGTTTTTAATAACAAAAAAAATCGGTTCTCTTTCAGGGAGCACAATGGAAAGTCTGCGTCCGACTCTGCCGTTTACTCAGGTGAGGAGGCACGAAATGGAACAGACTCACTCGGATGATATGGGCGTGGTCTCGCCCGTGGCCGCCGCAAAAAATAAATATCCAACTTCAAAAATTCTTAACTGCAAGCCGGTACGTCCGCTGTGAACCGCTGACAAAGTCGAATTCTCCGTACATTTGGGCAGCAACATCATCGGTGCATACATTGGCGAGGCGGGCACCGTTGCTACCCATCTGCACAGCTGCATTTTTTTGGGTCAATGGCCCAAATGACGGTCAAGGGCATATCCAAGGGCATGCGATCCACTTTCCTCATATTTTTATTAAGAGCGAACCGGGCGGCCAATAGCAATCGTGGCACCGTGGATCGCAAGTCTGGAGTTTCCACCCTTCAAAAATTTGAGCTCCGCCGCCGGCCCAGCTTGACCCCGCATTCTCTGACCATATGACAAAAAGATATCGGCATGGCCGATAATATCGCACGCAACCAACTAAGTAAACCCTCGGTGCTGCCGATAACTTCAAATGCAATAACTGACAAATTTGTATATATGTTTCCAAAACGTTTCCCACATGATCTTGATAAATGTGCTCTATATTAAGTTGGTCTTGATTGAATATTATTATTAAATTGACAATTTCGCGTACAAGATGTTTTGGTATGCGTGTATACGTTTGACATAAATAAAATAAGTCGATGTTTTTATGTCCACCCATACAAGAGTATGAACATATATTATATTGTTTTTCACATTCTACATCATCAAATATTATTATCGAGCTATGCTTAGCTTTCTCAGGTGGTATAACACGTTTTATTGGGGTTACTAGATTTTTTAGTTTTCATATTTCGGTTGAAATAATGATATTGAGTATAACTACATATTTTTAAATTTAAATTTGGACTCTCTATTAAGCTGATCATCTCATTTGTCTTTCCGTAGTTAGATGGACATACAATTGAGTTTGGTAATAACACACTGTGTCGAATATTATTTTCATTGGAAGAAACATCATATTTCTCACTTCTATATTCTTTTTAGCTTCTTCAAATGCCTGTTTAATGATTTTATTCTCGCAAAATTAATATCATTCATTGATCTACCTTCAGCGATTAGTTATCAATAAAAATGTTTCTTTGTTTTTATAAAAGATTCAGTCGTAAGCAAAATGCCTATTATGGAGGTAGTCTAGTTAATAACATAATTAATAGCCTTCCGATTGAATAGCATTTACCGGGGTATCAATTTTGTGGCTTAGGTATGAAACTTAAAGAACGCTTACAGCATGGGGATAAAGGCATTAGCCAATTAGACGCAGCTAGCCGGAAGCACGATATAGCATATTCAGAAAACAAAGAATTAGGCAAATGGCACATAGCTGATGTAAATTTAGATGATAAGGATTGGGAGAGAGTCAAAGCATCTAACTGAAGCATTGGAGAAAAAGTTTCTGCATTTTTCGTTACGAACGCAATGAAAACAAACAAAAAACAAGAGGTTCTATTCAAGAGCTCCCGACGAGGGGATACCCTGAACCCTCTTCTTCCAACATCAAATGCATATATATATTCTATTTTAGAATTTATATGTCAAGTTTGGTGACTCAAGTTCTTTTTATTTACCAAAATTGCCCAAAAAACAGGATATCGATATCGATTTTTATCGATTGCTTGGAACCAGAGTGAGCTATCGATTATCGGAAAGCAAATTCTATCCGCGCAGTCACTAGGAGCACCTACATCTAAAATTTCAAGTCTCTAACTCATAGGTTCTGAGATCCCTGCATTCATACATACGGACAGACGGACGGACGGACGGACAGACAGACGGACATGGCTAGATCGACTCGGCTATTGATGCTGATCAAGAATATATATACTTTATGGGGTCGGAGATGCTTCCTTCTGCCTAGTCGTGAGTTCCCGACTAGAACCTCTTGTTTTTTATTGTATACGGTATATACAATCTCCATCTCTCTCTATTGCATAAAAAATGATCCATATATATATTATCAAAGACTAGAAATGTTTTGAAAAAAAAAATTTTTAAAGTATTAAATTAGGTAATGCTTAATCTGCTTTACAATTGGAAGACACATTAAGGCACATAACAGCACCATTGCAGAAACTCGTTACTAAGAGTTATAAATTAAATAATACATTTTTGAAACCGAAGAAAGAAGAGCATGCACCTTAATTCAAATACTGGAACTTAGCCAGAGTTAGATAGTTCGCATTTTAGACGACGGAAACTAAATGATGGGAATGATTACGATGATGATGACGATTTTATTGATGCTAATACAAGAATCAATCAAACTGATGTCTATGCTGATGTGGATGATGATGATGATGATGTTACTTACATTTCCTTACTTTATTAGCAAACTTACTATCTTTTCGACTATTTATTTTTTTTTTTTTAATTAATACAGCAAATAATACAGCATTATTTTTAGTTTTACTTCAGAAGACTTTTTTCCTACTTACAACCTTCTGCGTAAATGTAGGCTCTAATAGCGTCACTTAGCTGTGAAAAGGGGCACAGCTGCAAATGGGCAAATAAAACACCTCCATCGGTCAGTGATGCTATTTAGAAAATTGTGTTCTTCAACTAGGCTTTTAGCATATAAGTCTATTATCTTTTATATAATCTATTGAATAATGAGGAAGATACTCGTTTTGTCCACCATTAATAAAATAAAATAAAATAAAAGGAATAATCAAAGACTAGAAATGTTGTGAAAAAAATGTTAAAGATTCGTTAAAGGTTCGGGTTTGTAAAAACAAACATTAAAACAATTTTATTAAATTTTTGATTCCGATATATTTCGGTTGCACATCGGCAAACCTGCTTCAGGGCACTAACACCAAGATACAAGAAATAATTAACAATTAGATTACAGATAAACATTAATTTGAACATTTTACATACAATTTTTTACACATCTGCGCCTTTTGACTGTGTGACAGGTGCGGCGCAGGATCAGCTTTATATCGTCCTGGGTCACCTGTCTCCGAAGCTCATTTAACTACGGCCAGCACACCCCAAACGTTAGCACAGAGTGGGACAAAACAAATAAAAAACATTAACAAACTCTGGTAAGAGTACCCTAATATCACATTATGTCATAAGTTATTTTGTCGTGGCGGCTACCACCAGGTTACGATAAACGGTTACGAACGTTTTGCCAACATGCGAACGTGACTTACCGTCAGCAACCACTACAAGAAAACTGCTCATGTTAATGGATATTCTCTACTTTCGTCGTACTTCTCAGATTCCACTACATCTACGCGATTATTAGCTACCTACTCGTGCCACATCAAACTTCAGCGGGTTGGGTCCTGAAGCCATCCTTTTCTCTGTACCTTCATTTATATCGTATTGATTTTTTTTTTGATTACGCACCGACTTCAAAGAAGCCGAGTGCTTTCTTAATTTGGGCGCCATACTGTTACGGAACTGCTTGGTCCACGCCGGCTGGCTCATCGGTTTCTCTGGGTGTAGTTCCATCCCTGGCTACCAGTCCGCACAATCGATAACAACGAAGCTACACGTCTGTAGCAAAACAGACTTACACAGCACTATGCAAAAGCGAGCCACAAATCGATAACGTCAAACAATCGGAACTTCTAACTCATAAACCAAATAAGCAGCTGTAACAACGATGAACATGTAAACAACAAAGGTGAGACACTCAATATAAATTAACAAAAAACACTATTTATACACCTTAGTCTTCCAGATCGGGCCCTGGTCCGGACCCAGCGTACCCGCCCAACCATGAGACAATCACCTACTCGTCTCCCACATTTTGCCATTAGATGGCCATCAGCCTGTGCCGGCTGTTATGCCAACTCTCCCCATCAAAGAAAATTTAGCCGGGCATTTCTCTCTTCAGATACGGCATATAATTGGTTGCATTTCTTATCGTTATTAACATTTAATCTTATTTCTTATTCCCCTGCAGGTTATCTTCAAGCTGTTATTTATAATTTCGTGCTCGGCAACATTTCCGGCATTTTTAACCAGGTGCATACGATAACTTGGTATATTCTTATTTTTAGAATAATGGATATAAGTTTTAAATTTCAATTTTTTTTCCATCTTTCAACTTTGCTTCACTGATGAGTTATCTATATATTAAATTTCCTTTTTTTTTGTAAAGAATACATTTTTTTGTTGGCGACCTTCATACAATACCGGAAACCAATAAAAAAACGGCCAGAAGTTATTGCCAGTCAACAAAGGAAAGGAAAACAAGGGGAGAAATATAAACACAGGTAATTATTTCACCAATGGGGAGCAAGTACCCGCTAAAATAAATGCGTGTATATCGAAGCGCTTATATTACCTTGCCTGCCTAAAGAGCTCTGTGTGTGGGGGGCATATGTACCTGAGGTGCGTAACATATATATATACGTATAAGTGGGTATCACTCGTGCATAAGTTGTCCAAAATCAAAACTTTTTAACTTCATTCTGTACCCGGCAGACGCAATAATTTTGGGCCCTTTCATTCCCGGTTCGCACTTTCGGAAATTTACTTAATTTAAATTAGTCGTGAGTATTTTTATGTTTTTAATAACAAAAAAAATCGGTTCTCTTTCAGGGAGCACAATGGAAAGTCTGCGTCTGACTCTGCCGTTTACTCAGGTGAGGAGGCACGAAATGGAACAGACTCACTCGGATGATATGGGCGTGGTCTCGCCCGTGGCCGCCGCAAAAAATAAATATCCAACTTCAAAAATTCTTAACTGCAAGCCGGTACGTCCGCTGTGAACCGCTGACAAAGTCGAATTCTCCGTACATTTGGGCAGCAACATCATCGGTGTATACATTGGCGAGGCGGGCACCGTTGCTACCCATCTGCACAGCTGCATTTTTTTGGGTCAATGGCCCAAATGACGGTCAAGGGCATATCCAAGGGCATGCGATCCATTTTCCTCATATTTTATTAAGAGTGAACCGGGCGGCCAATAGCAATCGTGGCGCCGTGGATCGCAAGTCTGGCGTTGCCACCCTTCAAAAAATCGGCATGGCCGATAATATCGCACGCAACCAACTAAGTAAACCCTCGGTGCTGCGGATAACGTCAAATGCAATAACTGACAAATTTGTATATATGTTTCGAAAATGTTTCCCACATGATCTTGATAAATGTGCTCTATATTAAGTTGGTCTTGATTGAATATTATTATTAAATTGACAATATCGCGCACAAGATGTTTAAAATGAGTCGATGTTTTTATGTCGACCCATACAAGAGTATGAACATATATTATATTGTTTTTCACATGCTACATCATCAAATATCATTATCGAGCTATGCTTAGCTTTCTCAGGTGGTATAACACGTTTTATTTTGGTTACTAGATTTTTTTGTTTTCATATTTCGGTTGAAATAATGATATTGAGTATAACTACATATTTTTAAATTTAAATTTGGACTCTCTATTAAGCTGATCATCTCATTTGTCTTTCCGTAGTTAGATGGACATACAATTGAGTTTGGTAATAACACACTGTGTCGAATATTATTTTCATTGGAAGAAACATCATATTTCTCACTTCTATATTCTTTTTAGCTTCTTTAAATGCCTGTTTAATGATTTTATTCTCGCAAAATTAATATCATTCATTGATATACCTTCAGCGATTAGGTATCAATAAAAATGTTTCTTTGTTTTTATAAAAGATTCAGTCGTAAGCAAAATGCCTATTATGGAGGTAGTCTAGTTAATAACATAATTAATAGCCTTCCGATTGCATGGCATTTACCGGGGTATCAATTTTGTGGCCCAGGTATGAAACTTAAAGAACGCATACAGCATGGGGATAAAGGCATTAGCCAATTAGACGCAGCTAGCCGGAAGCACGATATAGCATATTCAGAAAACAAAGAATTAGGCAAACGGCACATAGATGATGTAAATTTAGATGATAAGGATTGGGAGAGAGTCAAAGCATCTAACTGAAGCATTGGAGAAAAAGTTTCTGCATTTTTCGTTACGAACGCAATGAAAACAAACAAAAAACAAGAGGTTCTATTCGAGAGCTCCCGACGAGGGGATACCCTGAACCCTCTTCTTCCAACATCAAATGCATATATATATTCTATTTTAGAATTTATATGTCAAGTTTGGTGACTCAAGTTCTTTTTATTTACCAAAATTGCCCAAAAAACAGGATATCGATATCTATTTTTATCGATTGCTTGGAACCAGAGTGAGTTATCGATTATCGGAAAGAAAATTCTATCCGCGCAGTCACTAGGAGCACCTACATCTAAAATTTCAAGTCTCTAACTCTTATAGGTTCTGAGATCCCTGCGTTCATACATACGGACAGACGGACGGACGGACGGACAGACAGACGGACATGGCTAGATCGACTCGGCTATTGATGCTGATCAAGAATATATATACTTTATGGGGTCGGAGATGCTTCCTTCTGCCTAGTCGTGAGTTCCCGACTAGAACCTCTTGTTTTTTATTGTATACGGTATATACAATCTCCATCTCTCTCTATTGCATAAAAAATGATCCATATATATATTATCAAAGACTAGAAATGTTTTGAAAAAAAAAATTTTTAAAGTATTAAATTAGGTAATGCTTAATCTGCTTTACAATTGGAAGAAACATTAAGGCACATAACAGCACCATTGCAGAAACTCGTTACTAAGAGTTATAAATTAAATAATACATTTTTGAAACCGAAGAAAGAAGAGCATGCACCTTAATTCAAATACTGGAACTTAGCCAGAGTTAGATAGTTCGCATTTTAGACGACGGAAACTAAATGATGGGAATGATTACGATGATGATGATGACGATTTTATTGATGCTAATACAAGAATCAATCAAACTGATGTCTATGCTGATGTGGATGATGATGATGATGATGTTACTTACATTTCCTTACTTTATTAGCAAACTTACTATCTTTTCGACTATTTATTGTATTTTTTTAATTAATACAGCAAATGAGCATTATTTTTAGTTTTACTTCAGAAGACTTTTTTCCTACTTACAACCTTCTGCTTAAATGTAGGCTCTAATAGCGTCACTTAGCTGTGAAAAGGGGCACAGCTGCAAATGGGCAAATAAAACACCTCCATCGGTCGGTGATGCTATTTAGAAAATTGTGTTCTTCAACTAGGCTTTTAGCATATAAGTCTATTATCTTTTATATAATCTATTGAATAATGAGGAAGATACTCGTTTTGTCCACCATTAATAAAATAAAATAAAATAAAAGGAATAATCAAAGACTAGAAATGTTGTGAAAAAAATGTTAAAGATTCGTTAAAGGTTCGGGTTTGTAAAAACAAACATTAAAACAATTTTATTAAATTTTTGATTCCGATATATTTCGGTTGCACATCGGCGAACCTGCTTCAGGGCATTAACACCAAGATACAAGAAATAATTAACAATTAGATTACAGATAAACATTAATTTGAACATTTTACATACAATTTTTTACACATCTGCGCCTTTTGACTGTGTGACAGGTGCGGCGCAGGATCAGCTTTATATCGTCCTGGGTCACCTGTCTCCGAAGCTCATTTAACTACGGCCAGCACACCCCAAACGTTAGCACAGAGTGGGACAAAACAAATAAAAAACATTAACAAACTCTGGTAAGAGTACCCTAATATCACATTATGTCATAAGTTATTTTGTCGTGGCGGCTACCACCAGGTTACGATAAACGGTTACGAACGTTTTGCCAACATGCGAACGTGACTTACCGTCAGCAACCACTACAAGAAAACTTCTCATGTTAATGGATATTCTCTACTTTCGTCGTACTTCTCGGATTCCACTACATCTACGCGATTATTAGCTACCTACTCGTGCCACATAAAACTTCAGCGGGTTGGGTCCTGAAGCCATCCTTTTCTCTGTACCTTCATTTATATCGTATTGATTTTTTTTTGATTACGCACCGACTTCAAAGAAGCCGAGTGCTTTCTTAATTTGGGCGCCATATTGTTACGGAACTGCTTGGTCCACGCCGGCTGGCTCATCGGTTTCTCTGGGTGTAGTTCCATCCCTGGCCAGCAGTCCGCACAATCGATAACAACGAAGCTACACGTCTGTAGCAAAACAGACTTACACAACACTATGCAAAAGCGAACCACAAATCGATAACGTCAAACAATCGGAACTTCTAACTCATAAACCAAATAAGCAGCTGTAACAACGATGAACATGTAAACAACAAAGGTGAGACACTCAATATAAATTAACAAAAAACACTATTTATACACCTTACTCTTCCAGATCGAGCCCTGGTCCGGACCCAGCGTACCCGCCCAACCATGAGACAATCACCTACTCGTCTCCCACATTTTGCCATTAGATGGCCATCAGCCTGTGCCGGCTGTTATGCCAACTCTCCCCATCAAAGAAAATTTAGCCGGGCATTTCTCTCTTCAGATACGGCATATAATTGGTTGCATTTCTTATCGTTATTAACATTTAATCTTATTTCTTATTCCCCTGCAGGTTATCTTCAAGCTGTTATTTATAATTTCGTGCTCGGCAACATTTCCGGCATTTTTAACCAGTTGCATACGATAAGTTGGTATATTCTTATTTTTAGAATAATGGATATAAGTTTTAAATTTCAATTTTTTTTTCCATCTTTCAACTTTGCTTCACTGATGAGTTATCTATATATTAAATTTCCTTTTTTTTTGTAAAGAATACATTTTTTGTTGGCGACCTTCATACAATACCGGAAACCAATAAAAAAACGGCCAGAAGTTATTGCCAGTCAACAAAGGAAAGGAAAACAAGGGGAGAAATATAAACACAGGTAATTATTTCACCAATGGGGAGCAAGATACCAAAATACCCGCTAAAATAAATGCGTGTATACCGAAGCGCTTATATTACCTTGCCTGCCTAAAGAGCTCTGTGTGTGGGGGGCATATGTACCTGAGGTGCGTAACATATATATATACGTATAAGTGGGTATCACTCGTGCATAAGTTGTCCAAAATCAAAACTTTTTAACTTCATTCTTTACCCGGCAGACGCAATAATTTTGGGCCCTTTCATTCCCGGTTCGCACTTTCGGAAATTTACTTAATTTAAATTAGTCGTGAGTATTTTTATGTTTTTAATAACAAAAAAAATCGGTTCTCTTTCAGGGAGCACAATGGAAAGTCTGCGTCGACTCTGCCGTTTACTCAGGTGAGGAGGCACGAAATGGAACAGACTCACTCGGATGATATGGGCGTGGTCTCGCCCGTGGCCGCCGCAAAAAATAAATATCCAACTTCAAAAATTCTTAACTGCAAGCCGGTACGTCCGCTGTGAACCGCTGACAAAGTCGAATTCTCCGTACATTTGGGCAGCAACATCATCGGTGCATACATTGGCGAGGCGGGCACCGTTGCTACCCATCTGCACAGCTGCATTTTTTTGGGTCAATGGCCCAAATGACGGTCAAGGGCATATCCAAGGGCATGCGATCCACTTTCCTCATATTTTATTAAGAGTGAACCGGGCGGCCAATAGCAATCGTGGCGCCGTGGATCGCAAGTCTGGCGTTGCCACCCTTCAAAAATCGGCATGGCCGATAATATCGCACGCAACCAACTAAGTAAACCCTCGGTGCTGCGGATAACGTCAAATGCAATAACTGACAAATTTGTATATATGTTTCGAAAATGTTTCCCACATGATCTTGATAAATGTGCTCTATATTAAGTTGGTCTTGATTGAATATTATTATTAAATTGACAATATCGCGCACAAGATGTTTAAAATGAGTCGATGTTTTTATGTCGACCCATACAAGAGTATGAACATATATTATATTGTTTTTCACATGCTACATCATCAAATATCATTATCGAGCTATGCTTAGCTTTCTCAGGTGGTATAACACGTTTTATTGGGGTTACTAGATTTTTTAGTTTTCATATTTCGGTTGAAATAATGATATTGAGTATAACTACATATTTTTAAATTTAAATTTGGACTCTCTATTAAGCTGATCATCTCATTTGTCTCTCCATAGTTAGATGGACATACAATTGAGTTTGGTAATAACACACTGTGTCGAATATTATTTTCATTGGAAGAAACATCATATTTCTCACTTCTATATTCTTTTTAGCTTCTTCAAATGCCTGTTTAATGATTTTATTCTCGCAAAATGAATATCATTCATTGGTCTACCTTCAGCGATTAGGTATCAATAAAAATGTTTCTTTGTTTTTATAAAAGATTCAGTCGTAAGCAAAATGCCTATTATGGAGGTAGTCTAGTTAATAACATAATTAATAGCCTTCCGATTGCATGGCATTTACCGGGGTATCAATTTTGTGGCCCAGGTATGAAACTTAAAGAACGCATACAGCATGGGGATAAAGGCATTAGCCAATCAGACGCAGCTAGCCGGAAGCACGATATAGCATATTCAGAAAACAAAGAATTAGGCAAACGGCACATAGCTGATGTAAATTTAGATGATAAGGATTGGGAGAGAGTCAAAGCATCTAACTGAAGCATTGGAGAAAAAGTTTCTGCATTTTTCGTTACGAACGCAATGAAAACAAACAAAAAACAAGAGGTTCTATTCGAGAGCTCCCGACGAGGGGATACCTTGAACCCTCTTCTTCCAACATCAAATGCATATATATATTCTATTTTAGAATTTATATGTCAAGTTTGGTGACTCAAGTTCTTTTTATTTACCAAAATTGCCCAAAAAACAGGATATCGATATCTATTTTTATCGATTGCTTGGAACCAGAGTGAGTTATCGATTATCGGAAAGAAAATTCTATCCGCCCAGTCACTAGGAGCACCTACATCTAAAATTTCAAGTCTCTAACTCTTATAGGTTCTGAGATCCCTGCGTTCATACATACGGACAGACGGACGGACGGACGGACAGACAGACGGATATGGCTAGATCGACTCGGCTATTGATGCTGATCAAGAATATATATACTTTATGGGGTCGGAGATGCTTCCTTTTGCCTAGTCGTGAGTTCCCGACTAGAACCTCTTGTTTTTTATTGTATACGGTATATACAATCTCCATCTCTCTCTATTGCATAAAAAATGATCCATATATATATTATCAAAGACTAGAAATGTTTTGAAAAAAAAATTTTTTAAAGTATTAAATTAGGTAATGCTTAATCTGCTTTACAATTGGAAGAAACATTAAGGCACATAACAGCACCATTGCAGAAACTCGTTACTAAGAGTTATAAATTAAATAATACATTTTTGAAACCGAAGAAAGAAGAGCATGCACCTTAATTCAAATACTGGAACTTAGCCAGAGTTAGATAGTTCGCATTTTAGACGACGGAAACTAAATGATGGGAATGATTACGATGATGATGATGACGATTATATTGATGCTAATACAAGAATCAATCAAACTGATGTCTATGCTGATGTGGATGATGATGATGATGATGTTACTTACATTTCCTTACTTTATTAGCAAACTTACTATCTTTTCGACTATTTATTGTATTTTTTTAATTAATACAGCAAATGAGCATTATTTGTAGTTTTACTTCAGAAGACTTTTTTCCTACTTACAACCTTATGCTTAAATGTAGGCTCTAATAGCGTCACTTAGCTGTGAAAAGGGGCACAGCTGCAAATGGGCAAATAAAACACCTCCATCGGTCGGTGATGCTATTTAGAAAATTGTGTTCTTCAACTAGGCTTTTAGCATATAAGTCTATTATCTTTTATATAATCTATTGAATAATGAGGAAGATACTCGTTTTGTCCACCATTAATAAAATAAAATAAAATAAAAGGAATAATCAAAGACTAGAAATGTTGTGAAAAAAATGTTAAAGATTCGTTAAAGGTTCGGGTTTGTAAAAACAAACATTAAAACAATTTTATTAAATTTTTGATTCCGATATATTTCGGTTGCACATCGGCAAACCTGCTTCAGGGCACTAACACCAAGATACAAGAAATAATTAACAATTAGATTACAGATAAACATTAATTTGAACATTTTACATACAATTTTGAACACATCTGCGCCTTTTGACTGTGTGACAGGTGCGGCGCAGGATCAGCTTTATATCGTCCTGGGTCACCTGTCTCCGAAGCTCATTTAACTACGGCCAGCACACCCCAAACGTTAGCGCAGAGTGGGACAAAACAAATAAAAAACATTAACAAACTCTGGTAAGAGTACCCTAATATCACATTATGTCATAAGTTATTTTGTCGTGGCGGCTACCACCAGGTTACGATAAACGGTTACGAACGTTTTGCCAACATGCGAACGTGACTTACCGTCAGCAACCACTACAAGAAAACTTCTCATGTTAATGGATATTCTCTACTTTCGTCGTACTTCTCGGATTCCACTACATCTACGCGATTATTAGCTACCTACTCGTGCCACATAAAACTTCAGCGGGTTGGGTCCTGAAGTCCTATTGATTTTTTTTTGATTACGCACCGACTTCAAAGAAGCCGAGTGCTTTCTTAATTTGGGCGCCATACTGTTACGGAACTGCTTGGTCCACGCCGGCTGGCTCATCGGTTTCTCTGGGTGTAGTTCCATCCCTGGCTAGCAGTCCGCACAATCGATAACAACGAAGCTACACGTCTGTAGCAAAACAGACTTACACAGCACTATGCAAAAGCGAACCACAAATCGATAACGTCAAACAATCGGAACTTCTAACTCATAAACCAAATAAGCAGCTGTAACAACGATGAACATGTAAACAACAAAGGTGAGACACTCAATATAAATTAACAAAAAACACTATTTATACACCTTAGTCTTCCAGATCGGGCCCTGGTCCGGACCCAGCGTACCCGCCCAACCATGAGACAATCACCTACTCGTCTCCCACATTTTGCCATTAGATGGCCATCAGCCTGTGCCGCCTGTTATGCCAACTCTCCCCATCAAAGAAAATTTAGCCCGGCATTTCTCTCTTCAGATACGGCATATAATTGGTTGCATTTCTTATCGTTATTAACATTTAATCTTATTTCTTATTCCCCTGCTGGTTATCTTCAAGCTGTTATTTATAATTTCGTGCTCGGCAACATTTCCGGCATTTTTAACCAGGTGCATACGATACTTGGTATATTCTTATTTTTAGAATAATGGATATAAGTTTTAAATTTCAATTTTTTTTCCATCTTTCAACTTTGCTTCACTGATGAGTTATCTATATATTAAATTTCCTTTTTTTTGTAAAGAATACATTTTTTTGTTGGCGACCTTCATACAATACCGGAAACCAATAAAAAAAACGGCCAGAAGTTATTGCCAGTCAACAAAGGAAAGGAAAACAAGGGGAGAAATATAAACACAGGTAATTATTTCACCAATGGGGAGCAAGTACCCGCTAAAATAAATGCGTGTATATCGAAGCGCTTATATTACCTTGCCTGCCTAAAGAGCTCTGTGTGTGGGGGGCATATGTACCTGAGGTGCGTAACATATATATATACGTATAAGTGGGTATCACTCGTGCATAAGTTGTCCAAAATCAAAACTTTTTAACTTCATTCGTTACCCGGCAGACGCAATAATTTTGGGCCCTTTCATTCCCGGTTCGCACTTTCGGAAATTTACTTAATTTAAATTAGTCGTGAGTATTTTTATGTTTTTAATAACAAAAAAAATCGGTTCTCTTTCAGGGAGCACAATGGAAAGTCTGCGTCTGACTCTGCCGTTTACTCAGGTGAGGAGGCACGAAATGGAACAGACTCACTCGGATGATATGGGCGTGGTCTCGCCCGTGGCCGCCGCAAAAAATAAATATCCAACTTCAAAAATTCTTAACTGCAAGCCGGTACGTCCGCTGTGAACCGCTGACAAAGTCGAATTCTCCGTACATTTGGGCAGCAACATCATCGGTGCATACATTGGCGAGGCGGGCACCGTTGCTACCCATCTGCACAGCTGCATTTTTTTGGGTCAATGGCCCAAATGACGGTCAAGGGCATATCCAAGGGCATGCAATCCACTTTCCTCATATTTTATTAAGAGTGAACCGGGCGGCCAATAGCAATCGTGGCGCCGTGGATCGCAAGTCTGGCGTTGCCACCCTTCAAAAAATCGGCATGGCCGATAATATCGCACGCAACCAACTAAGTAAACCCTCGGTGCTGCGGATAACGTCAAATGCAATAACTGACAAATTTGTATATATGTTTCGAAAATTTTTCCCACATGATCTTGATAAATGTGCTCTATATTAAGTTGGTCTTGATTGAATATTATTATTAAATTGACAACATCGCGCACAAGATGTTTTGGTATGCGTGTATACGTTTGACATAAATAAAATGAGTCGATGTTTTTATGTCGACCCATACAAGAGTATGAACATATATTATATTATTTTTCACATGCTACATCATCAAATATCATTATCGAGCTATGCTTAGGTTTCTCAGGTGGTATAACACGTTTTATTTTGGTTACTAGATTTTTTTGTTTTCATATTTCGGTTGAAATAATGATATTGAGTATAACTACATATTTTTAAATTTAAATTTGGACTCTCTATTAAGCTGATCATCTCATTTGTCTTTCCGTAGTTAGATGGACATACAATTGATTTTGGTGATAACACACTGTGTCGAATATTATTTTCATTGGAAGAAACATCATATTTCTCACTTCTATATTCTTTTTAGCTTCTTCAAATGCCTGTTTAATGATTTTATTCTCGCAAAATTAATATCATTCATTGATATACCTTCAGCGATTAGGTATCAATAAAAATGTTTCTTTGTTTTTATAAAAGATTCAGTCGTAAGCAAAATGCCTATTATGGAGGTAGTCTAGTTAATAACATAATTAATAGCCTTCCGATTGCATGGCATTTACCGGGGTATCAATTTTGTGGCCCAGGTATGAAACTTAAAGAACGCATACAGCATGGGGATAAAGGCATTAGCCAATTAGACGCAGCTAGCTGGAAGCACGATATAGCATATTCAGAAAACAAAGAATTAGGCAAACGGGACTTAGCTGATGTAAATTTAGATGATAAGGATTGGGAGAGAGTCAAAGCATCTAACTGAAGCATTGGAGAAAAAGTTTCTGCATTTTTCGTTACGAACGCAATGAAAACAAACAAAAAACAAGAGGTTCTATTCGAGAGCTCCCGACGAGGGGATACCCTGAACCCTCTTCTTCCAACATCAAATGCATATATATATTCTATTTTAGGATTTATATGTCAAGTTTGGTGACTCAAGTTCTTTTTATTTACCAAAATTGCCCAAAAAACAGGATATCGATATCTATTTTTATCGATTGCTTGGAACCAGAGTGAGTTATCGATTATCGGAAAGAAAATTCTATCCGCGCAGTCACTAGGAGCACCTACATCTAAAATTTCAAGTCTCTAACTCTTATAGGTTCTGAGATCCCTGCGTTCATACATACGGACAGACGGATGGACAGACAGACGGACATGGCTAGATCGCCTCGGCTATTGATGCTGATCAAGAATATATATACTTTATGGGGTCGGAGATGCTTCCTTCTGCCTAGTCGTGAGTTCCCGACTAGAACCTCTTGTTTTTTATTGTATACGGTATATACAATCTCCATCTCTCTCTGTTGCATAAAAAATGATCCATATATATATTATCAAAGACTAGAAATGTTTTGAAAAAAAAAATTTGTAAAGTATTCAATTAGGTAATGCTTAATCTGCTTTACAATTGGAAGAAACATTAAGGCACATAACAGCACCATTGCAGAAACTCGTTACTAAGAGTTATAAATTAAATAATACATTTTTGAAACCGAAGAAAGAAGAGCATGCACCTTAATTCAAATACTGGAACTTAGCCAGAGTTAGATAGTTCGCATTTTAGACGACGGAAACTAAATGATGGGAATGATTACGATGATGATGATGACGATTTTATTGATGCTAATACAAGAATCAATCAAACTGATGTCTATGCTGATGTGGATGATGATGATGATGATGTTATTTACATTTCCTTACTTTATTAGCAAACTTACTATCTTTTCGACTATTTATTGTATTTTTTTAATTAATACAGCAAATGAGCATTATTTTTAGTTTTACTTCAGAAGACTTTTTTCCTACTTACAACCTTCTGCTTAAATGTAGGCTCTAATAGCGTCACTTAGCTGTGAAAAGGGGCACAGCTGCAAATGGGCAAATAAAACACCTCCATCGGTCGGCTATTTAGAAAATTGTGTTCTTCAACTAGGCTTTTAGCATATAAGTCTATTATCTTTTATATAATCTATTGAATAATGAGGAAGATACTCGTTTTGTCCACCATTAATAAAAAAAAATAAAATAAAAGGAATAATCAAAGACTAGAAATGTTGTGAAAAAAATGTTAAAGATTCGTTAAAGGTTCGGGTTTGTAAAAACAAACATTAAAACAATTTTATTAAATTTTTGATTCCGATATATTTCGGTTGCACATCGGCAAACCTGCTTCAGGGCACTAACACCAAGATACAAGAAATAATTAACAATTAGATTACAGATAAACATTAATTTGAACATTTTACATACAATTTTTTACACATCTGCGCCTTTTGACTGTGTGACAGGTGCGGCGCAGGATCAGCTTTATATCGTCCTGGGTCACCTGTCTCCGAAGCTCATTTAACTACGGCCAGCACACCCCAAACGTTAGCACAGAGTGGGACAAAACAAATAAAAAACATTAACAAACTCTGGTAAGAGTACCCTAATATCACATTATGTCATAAGTTATTTTGTCGTGGCGGCTACCACCAGGTTACGATAAACGGTTACGAACGTTTTGCCAACATGCGAACGTGACTTACCGTCAGCAACCACTACAAGAAAACTTCTCATGTTAATGGATATTCTCTACTTTCGTCGTACTTCTCGGATTCCACTACATCTACGCGATTATTAGCTACCGACTCGTGCCACATAAAACTTCAGCGGGTTGGGTCCTGAAGCCATCCTTTTCTCTGTACCTTCATTTATATCGTATTGATTTTTTTTTGATTACGCACCGACTTCAAAGAAGCCGAGTGCTTTCTTAATTTGGGCGCCATATTGTTACGGAACTGCTTGGTCCACGCCGGCTGGCTCATCGGTTTCTCTGGGTGTAGTTCCATCCCAGGCCAGCAGTCCGCACAATCGATAACAACGAAGCTACACGTCTGTAGCAAAACAGACTTACACAGCACTATGCAAAAGCGAACCACAAATCGATAACGTCAAACAATCGGAACTTCTAACTCATAAACCAAATAAGCATCTGTAACAACTATGAACATGTAAACAACAAAGGTGAGACACTCAATATAAATTAACAAAAAACACTATTTATACACCTTACTCTTCCAGATCGGGCCCTGGTCCGGACCCAGCGTACCCGCCCAACCATGAGACAATCACCTACTCGTCTCCCACATTTTGCCATTAGATGGCCATCAGCCTGTGCCGGCTGTTATGCCAACTCTCCCCATCAAAGAAAATTTAGCCGGGCATTTCTCTCTTCAGATACGGCATATAATTGGTTGCATTTCTTATCGTTATTAACATTTAATCTTATTTCTTATTCCCCTGCAGGTTATCTTCAAGCTGTTATTTATAATTTCGTGCTCGGCAACATTTCCGGCATTTTTAACCAGGTGCATACGATAACTTGGTATATTCTTATTTTTAGAATAATGGATATAAGTTTTAAATTTCAATTTTTTTTCCATCTTTCAACTTTGCTTCACTGATGAGTTATCTATATATTAAATTTCCTTTTTTTTTGTAAAGAATACATTTTTTGTTGGCGACCTTCATACAATACCGGAAACCAATAAAAAAACGGCCAGAAGTTATTGCCAGTCAACAAAGGAAAGGAAAACAAGGGGAGAAATATAAACACAGGTAATTATTTCACCAATGGGGAGCAAGTACCCGCTAAAATAAATGCGTGTATACCGAAGCGCTTATATTACCTTGCCTGCCTAAAGAGCTCTGTGTGTGGGGGGCATATGTACCTGAGGTGCGTAACATATATATATACGTATAAGTGGGTATCACTCGTGCATAAGTTGTCCAAAATCAAAACTTTTAACTTCATTCTTTACCCAGCAGACGCAATAATTTTGGGCCCTTTCATTCCCGGTTCGCACTTTCGGAAATTTACTTAATTTAAATTAGTCGTGATTATTTTTATGTTTTTAATAACAAAAAAATCGGTTCTCTTTCAGGGAGCACAATGGAAAGTCTGCGTCTGACTCTGCCGTTTACTCAGGTGAGGAGGCACGAAATGGAACAGACTCACTCGGATGATATGGGCGTGGTCTCGCCCGTGGCCGCCGCAAAAAATAAATATCCAACTTCAAAAATTCTTAACTGCAAGCCGGTACGTCCGCTGTGGACCGCTGACAAAGTCGAATTCTCCGTACATTTGGGCAGCAACATCATCGGTGCATACATTGGCGAGGCGGGCACCGTTGCTACCCATCTGCACAGCTGCATTTTTTTGGGTCAATGGCCCAAATGACGGTCAAGGGCATATCCAAGGGCATGCGATCCACTTTCCTCATATTTTTATTAAGAGTGAACCGGGCGGCCAATAGCAATCGTGGCGCCGTGGATCGCAAGTTTGGAGTTGCCACCCTTCAAAAATTTGAGCTCCGCCGCCGGCCCAGCTTGACCCCGCATACTCTGACCATATGACAAAAAGATATCGGCATGGCCGATAATATCGCACGCAACCAACTAAGTAAACCCTCGGTGCTGCCGATAACGTCAAATGCAATAACTGACAAATTTGTATATATGTTTCGAAAATGTTTCCCACATGATCTTGATAAATGTGCTCTATATTAAGTTGGTCTTGATTGAATATTATTATTAAATTGACAATATCGCGCACAAGATGTTTTGGTATGCGTGTATACGTTTGACATAAATAAAATGAGTCGATGTTTTTATGTCGACCCATACAAGAGTATGAACATATATTTTTTTTCACATGCTACATCATCAAATATCATTATCGAGCTATGCTTAGCTTTCTCAGGTGGTATAACACGTTTTATTGGGGTTACTAGATTTTTTAGTTTTCATATTTCGGTTGAAATAATGATATTGAGTATAACTACATATTTTTAAATTTAAATTTGGACTCTCTATTAAGCTGATCATCTCATTTGTCTTTCCGTAGTTAGATGGACATACAATTGAGTTTGGTAATAACACACTGTGTCGAATATTATTTTCATTGGAAGAAACATCATATTTCTCACTTCTATATTCTTTTTTCAAATGCCTGTTTAATGATTTTATTCTCGCAAAATTAATATCATTCATTGATATACCTTCAGCGATTAGGTATCAATAAAAATGTTTCTTTGTTTTTATAAAAGATTCAGTCGTAAGCAAAATGCCTATTATGGAGGTAGTCTAGTTAATAACATAATTAATAGCCTTCCGATTGCATGGCATTTACCGGGGTATCAATTTTGTGGCCCAGGTATGAAACTTAAAGAACGCATACAGCATGGGGATAAAGGCATTAGCCAATTAGACGCAGCTAGCCGGAAGCACGATATAGCATATTCAGAAAACAAAGAATTAGGCAAACGGCACATAGCTGATGTAAATTTAGATGATAAGGATTGGGAGAGAGTCAAAGCATCTAACTGAAGCATTGGAAAAAAAGTTTCTGCATTTTTCGTTACGAACGCAATGAAAACAAACAAAAAACAAGAGGTTCTATTCGAGAGCTCCCGACGAGGGGATACCCTGAACCCTCTTCTTCCAACATCAAATGCATATATATATTCTATTTTTGAATTTATATGTCAAGTTTGGTGACTCAAGTTCTTTTTATTTACCAAAATTTATCGATTGCTTGGAACGAGAGTTATCGATTATCGGAAAGAAAATTCTATCCGCGCAGTCACTAGGAGCACCTACATCTAAAATTTCAAGTCTCTAACTCTTATAGGTTCTGAGATCCCTGCGTTCATACATACGGACAGACGGACGGACGGACGGACAGACAGACGGACATGGCTAGATCGACTCGGCTATTGATGCTGATCAAGAATATATATACTTTATGGGGTCGGAGATGCTTCCTTCTGCCTAGTCGTGAGTTCCCGACTAGAACCTCTTGTTTTTTATTGTATACGGTATATACAATCTCCATTTCTCTCTATTGCATAAAAAATGATCCATATATATATTATCAAAGACTAGAAATGTTTTGAAAAAAAAAATTTTAAAGTATTAAATTAGGTAATGCTTCATCTGCTTTACAATTGGAAGAAAGGCACATAACAGCACCATTGCAGAAACTCGTTACTAAGAGTTATAAATTAAATAATACATTTTTGAAACCGAAGAAAGAAGAGCATGCACCTTAATTCAAATACTGGAACTTAGCCAGAGTTAGATAGTTCGCATTTTAGACGACGGAAACTAAATGATGGGAATGATTACGATGATGATGATGACGATTTTATTGATGCTAATACAAGAATCAATCAAACTGATGTCTATGCTGATGTGGATGATGATGATGATGATGTTACTTACATTTCCTTACTTTATTAGCAAACTTACTATCTTTTCGACTATTTATTGTATTTTTTTAATTAATACAGCAAATGAGCATTATTTTTAGTTTTACTTCAGAAGACTTTTTTCCTACTTACAACCTTCTGCTTAAATGTAGGCTCTAATAGCGTCACTTAGCTGTGAAAAGGGGCACAGCTGCAAATGGGCAAATAAAACACCTCCATCGGTCGGTGATGCTATTTAGAAAATTGTGTTCTTCAACTAGGCTTTTAGCATATAAGTCTATTATCTTTTATATAATCTATTGAATAATGAGGAAGATACTCGTTTTGTCCACCATTAATAAAATAAAATAAAATAAAAGGAATAATCAAAGACTAGAAATGTTTTGAAAAAAAAAAGGTTCGTTGGTTCGGGTTTGTAAAAACAAACATTAAAACAATTTTATTTAATTTTTGATTCCGATATATTTCGGTTGCACATCGGCAAACCTGCTTCAGGGCACTAACACCAAGATACAAGAAATAATTAACAATTAGATTACAGATAAACATTAATTTGAACATTTTACATACAATTTTTTACACATCTGCGCCTTTTGACGTGGAGATTCAAACTGAAGCTGTTTGGCTGTTTAAAAGGTGTCTGTAGAAGTGAACGCTTTTTCTTTTTGTTTTCTGTGTCTGTCTTGTAGTTTAGTCGGTTGTTAGTGGGTGTGTTAATTATGTGTAGCATTTCCTATGTGTGCCGTTTGTTGTAGTGTTAATTAATTGTCAGATTGTTGTGTCTTAAAAATTTGGCGTGTGATTGCTTTTCATGCAGTGGGTCATTAGTGCTGTTTGCTGTACATTATTTTGATGTCTTAATATGAAGTTCCATTAATATTGACTGATCCTTTTTCTTAGTTTCGATTTTGTTGTACCTATGTTAACACTATTACACTTGTTGTTGCTTACAGTTTGGTGTTAGTGCCCTGAAGACGGTTTGCGGAAACAAAAATTAAATAAAATTGTTTGAATGTTTGTTTTTACAAGCCCGGACCTCGAGCCAGCCTACGAATATTGTAAAATATGGAAATGTCGCCAAAACAATCAATAAAAATTTTAAAGTTTAAATAAGGTAAAGCTGAATACAACCGGAATAAACATTAAAGCCCATAACAACACCATTGCAGAAACTCGTTACTAAGAGTAATTAAGGAAATAATACATTTTTGAAACCGAAGAAAGGAGAGCGGTCGTACACGCCACTTATTTCAAATACTGAAATTAAGCCAGAGTTAAATAGTTCGCAATTTAGACGACGGAAATTAAATGATGAGATGATGATAATACGAGAATCAATCAAACTAGTCATCAGTGCTGATGCTGATCATGATGATGATATTTATGATAAAACAGTTAATCAACTCTACTCTCAATCTAATGTTGGAGTTGAAAATATGTTTAATCTAAGTGAATTAGCTAAAAAAAAGATACTTGATAAAGCATATGGA